CCCTCTCGCATTTTTCCCTACTTCCCTGATAGCTGCTCATAGAGTTTGGGCACACAGTCATCCCATTTGGCTTGGTAACACGTGCCAGCAACTGGGGACCCGAGCTCGTACTTTTTGCGGAAAGTTGCCACCTTGAACTTGCCACGGTGATCTCCAGATCTATTGCTGAGAATGGGTTCATCACACTTCAATGGTCTGTCCTGCTCGTAGACCAGCCAGACATAACATAACGGTGGAGGCCTGTGCCCTTGGGAGGCCCGGAGCCCACATAATCCGAGAGGACTGTACCACTGCTGACGTTGTTGCCCTTTATGTTGACCACCAGAAAATGGTGCCACTTCCTGAATTTGGGGTCCTTCCTGCTGGGTGCATCTGGGTCTGTGAAGACCAAGGTGTAGAGTTTACCGGAATCTAGGCCATCCCATGTAATGCTGACAGGGCGATTCTTCACCTGGTTGGGCGTCAGCACTTTGCCTAGCTCGTCCACCTCCGCTCCGCCGTATTTGACCTGCAGCGGGTGCTGCGGCTGCTCATCCACTTCCTGCAGGCTCAAGGGCCCAGACTACTTGCTGAGGTCCACCCGCATCGTGGGGTCGAGTGGAGCAGACAGCCGGAAGTGCAGCAGCAACCCCACACTGCCCGGAGGTAAAGTGGCCCTTGTCTATGTCTTTTCATAACTTGATTGCTCTTTTCTTTTGATCGCTGAATAAAATTCTTTCATTTGTTTATCCATTTGCCTAATGAAGGACATGTTGGTGGTGATCTGACTCATAGCGATCCTGTTTCCAAGGAGGTGCTGCTGGGTTTAAACCACCAGCCTTGCAGTTAGCAGTCCAGAGCTTATCCTACAGTGCCATACCAGGATTCCTTGGTTGCTCCAAATTTTTGGTATTTCTGAATAAAGCCACTATAAATGCTAGTGTGCAGTTCTTTATGTGGATATGTGTTTTAAACTTATTTGGATAAATATCTAGGCTTTCTTTGTAAGAGACTGCCAGATGTCTTCCAATGTGGGGTAGGTACCATTTTGCATCCCCAGAACAGTGTTTTCAAAGTACCTGGTGAGTGTGTTAACACACCAGTGAGCATGTGACAGACATGGGTATATGGGTGGTCTTCCACACATAGTACCTTCCTCCAAACGTTCATCACAACTTTTTCTACTTGAGTCTTTTCACATTAGGTGGTACCTTCTGTGGAATCAAGTGACACAAAAGACATGGTTTGCACTATTTTTCCTTGCAAAACAAGATCATTTGCATTGGTTAGGGCATGGTGCTGCCTACTTTTCTGTCCCAAGCAAAAGCTAGTTTATTGGTGGTATTGATTCCAACCAGTTGAACCAGGTGAATAGGGTGGGTGGATGGGCATATGAGACTTAGTTATAAAACGGTCTTAGCTCAGTGTGTGTTTTGAAGAAAGAGGAAGGCGTTTTAGTTTCCATAGGGGCTTTGTCTCCATAAAAGAACAGGAAGACTATGGGTTGAGGGGAGTTAATTAAATTGTCAGTCTTTATCAGATGCTACTCTAGTCTCTCCTTGTTGGAATGTGTTCTGTGAACCCTTCGGGATGGGAACACACAGGGAGACTTGACACAATATTGTTAGTACCTGTCATAACTTGCATCTTTATCTTGTGTGTGTGCGTTGAGATGCAATGGAGTCCTTTGTTTGGAAGACCCATGGGGAAACTGCTTTGGGAGAGTAACCACTGAGATAGGAATCAGCATTTTAACACATTTTCAGATTGGATTTTCCGTAATAACGCTTGTCAGGGATCTGTAAGCATTGAATATTAGCACCCCTGAATAGCAGGGGACTTTTCAATCTCTCATCATCTAACTTATAAATCAGATTTTGTTGCCAGTAGTCATTGGGAAGCCACCTGCTGTCAGTGGGCCTCAGTTTCTACATCTGTAAACTGGGGATGATATGAGGCTAAGTCAGAGAGTATGAGGGGGCTTCAAAAAATTGGTGGAAAAATTCCATTATCTTAATTTCATGTTTTCCATGAACGTTTTGAAGCCCCCTCCATATTGCTACAAAAATCATAATAATGTTTATTAAACAAAAATATAAAACATGAAGCTATTGCTTCTTGACATAGTCGCCACCTAGGTCTCTACACTTCTGAAGGCACTGTTTCCATCTCTCGAACCCTTCCCCTGGGGTGGCACAGCAAGATAAGGACTGGACTTTGAACCACAAGGTTGGCAGTTCAAACCTACTAGTTGCTCCTTGGAAATCCTATACAGAGTTGCTATGAGTTAGAACTGACTTGATGGCTCATAACAAACAGAAACAAACTCGTCCCCAAAGAAATAATCTGCTCTGATTTATACCACATCAAAAGGGCAGTTTGGTTATCCTTGAGGGATTGAAATAATGTTCCTTTGAAATGTTCTTTGAGTTTTGGGGACAAAAGAAGTCTGAAGGGATATGATCAGGGCTGTAGGGTGGATGGGGTAAGGTTTCCCAATGAACTCCTCATGGGACAGACTTTGCTACCCTAGAAGAATATGCTGGGGGATTATCATGATGGAGAACAATTCCTTGGCACAACTGTCCTGGCCTTTTCCTCACCAATGCAATTTTCAGTTTGGTAAAACTTCTTAATAAGCACCTGTAATTATTCTGTATTTTTTGAGGAAAGATATGAAGATGACCCCTTTGGAGCCCCAAAACCATTGCCATATCCTTTTGAGCTGACCTCTCTGCATTGAATTGAACTGGCCCACAGATACCCTCGGAAGCCACTGCTTCTATTGGACCTTTGTTTGAAGACCCCTTAATGAGACTAGATAAATGTATTCCTGGGAGAATTGTCTGCAGCCACCCACTGATCACAGAGACATGTTTAAACACGTCTAGCTTGGAATTAACCCACACATGTATCACCTGGAGCTCTAGTAGTAGTACTTTTTGACTGAATGTCATAGCAACGGACCCAATTTAAGAGTGCTCGGAAAACCACCAAGGGGGATGAAATGCATTAGAACTCTCTGGAATCCCATTCTTCTTGGACATATGCTGTTTTCCTGAGGGAGGGGCCATTCTTTGTCTAAGATGATGCCCAACTTGTCTACTCCCGATCCTGCGAGGAGGGATAGAAAGCCACAGGAATTGATACTACCCAGTACAACCATTCACCACTCTTCTGTCAGTTTATCATACTGTGGTGCCTTGTGTGCTGCTGTGAAATATTTACAATAAAGATCAAAGGCCACATCCTTCAGTATGGATTGTACCTCAATGTAAAGAAAACGAAAATACTCACAATTGGACCAATAAATAACATATTGATAAATGCAGAAAAGATTGAAGTTATCAAAGACTTGCTTGGCCCTACAATCAAGACTTATGGAATCAACAGTCAAGAAATCAAATGATGGATTACAGTGGGCAAAGTCTGCTGAACAAGAGCAAAGACGTCAGTTTGAGACCTAAGGTGTGCCTGACCCAGTCACCTCATATGCACGTGAAAGTTGGACAATGAATAAGGAAGACTGTAGAAGAGTCAATGCATTTGAATGATGGTGTTGGAGAAGAATATTAGAAGTACCATGGCCTGCCAGAAGAACCAATGAATCTGTCATGGAATAAGTATAGCAGAATGCCCCTTAGCAGCCAGGTTGGTGAGACTTTGTCTTACCAATTTTGCGCATATTATCAGGAAGAATCAGTCCCTGGAAAAGGACAACATGGAGGGTCATTGAAAAAGAGGAAGACCCCCTCTCCCCCAATGAGATTAATTGACACAGTGGCAGTGCAATGGGCTCAAACTTGACAACAACTGTAAGGATGGTGGAGGACTGGGTGTTTTGTTCTGTGGTGAATCGGAACTGACTTCATGGCAATGAACAACCATAGGCTCCATCTCCACGTCCATCTCTCCTCGGGTCCTCTGTCCTGGGCTGCTTGGTGTATCAACACAGGAGGATGGAGTGGTGACTCCGCAGCAACAGGGGAAGGACACATGACACCCCTCTTGACCAACTCACCTGACCTTTCTGGATGTCCACTCTTGTAAGACACTCTGCCAGGGCTTTGATCCTGACTGTGCCCTTGAGAAACTTAGGCTCTGCCAGGGTTCTGACAGGGGGAGTAAACAGTGCTGAGTGTGGGCATCCCAGGGGCAGATTTTATGGATGGGAGATAGAAGTTGTGCAGAGGAGAATGGGCCAAATCTCTTTGGGGGAGTTAGCAAGGCTGGACTCTAACTAGGGGGATTGCTGTCTGAGTTGACCTTTGAAAGACAATAGGAGCCTGTTTCAGGAGCACAAGAGCACATGAGAAACAGGAAATTGCATACATTTCCCTCACTTGTTTGGAGGAACTTCAAGAATTTTGTAGTAAGAGTAACCATGGTTCACAGGATAATTAATCATAAATTAAGGCCAGTGGCTTCACTTGGAATTACTTAAAAAAAAAAAAAAGCTTTTAGGACTTCCTTTTTTCTTCTTCTAAGTTTTAAATTCACAACCTCTATATTTTAAACAACAGCTGCCACCTCCACAACCCAGCATTTGTAGGGATGATGAACAGGGCAATGTTGCTGTGTTCGGGTATACTTAGATAGCTGTGAGTCAAAGATGGCTTTTTAAAACCCAAACTAACAAAATATCCAGGGTAATATAGAAAGTTAATAGTTCCTTAGATTCACTTAGAATTTCTGATAAGAACCAATAACCTTTGGTTTTGCTGATAACGCTGAATTGTTTAGATATTGATTTCTCACAAAGTATGAACTTCAGGGGAGGTCAAGAGAGGGTGTTCTTCAACGCTCTGCCTAGTGCTCTGGGGGAGCCTGTACCTTGCACTTACACCTTCAGCGTCACGTGGCTGCTGCTTGGGCTCCACCCCTCTTCCCAGCAATATAAACAGGCCAGTGGCCTCTTGGATTTCCAGCTCTCCCTGGGGAGGAGCCTGTGCTGAGTGAGCAGAGCTCAGCACCACAGCTCCCAGTAAAACTCAAGAGACTCACGGACCAGGAAAGTAACCATGGAGCTGATTCCAAGTTTTTCCACGGAGACCTGGATTCTCCTGGCTACCAGCCTGGTGCTCTTCTATCTGTGAGTAGCTGCCCAGCTTCATCATAACACTAGACTTGGGGTTAATGTGTCTCTGGCCAATTTTCCCCAGCTGTTTTGAAGACATAAAAAAGAGACGGAAGAAGGGTATTGCTTAAGTGTTCGTGGTTACAAAACCGAAAGGGCTTATTAGTGATCTTACGCAGTCTATGAAGTTACTCCCTTCTTAAGCCCACTCCACCTCCCAAATTTAAATTTCTGTGGCAAGGAGTGTTTACTGATGTTCTTTGTTCATTGGGGATCGATGACCACTTTGGATCTAGAAGAATCACCCAGAATGCATCAGAGGAGATTTAAAAAAAAAAAAAAAATGGCCACTCAAATGGAAAATGTTTAGAGCCAAGAAGTTCCTCTACTTAGCGATGTGTGTGTGTGTGTGTGTTTTAGCTTCTTCCATTCCATGCCTTTAACTGGCTTGATACCTCATTTCTGTTTATTGTTGAACTTCACATGCTTTAAGGTTTTATTTTATTGTTCAGGAGATTTGGGACCAATACTGAATGACAGTTAACCTCTAAAGAAGAGGAAACGAGTTCTCATTTCAGCTGCCTGGGACATTGTGTATGATTGTTTATTCTGTGTTGTGCAATAACAGGAAAGTTCCTGGATTTTGGAAAGTCCCCTGTCTCTTAAGTGAATGCCATTTATTTGTAGTCATGTGGAACCATTGCTCTGTTCCTAAATTACTTCTACTGTACTAACCTTGTAGTACAAGCAGTTTGAATGGTTACCAACAGCCTCTTCAGAATCTTTCTTTCTTCTTTCTAGCTGGCCACCTCTCAGTAACACCAGAGTGGCTAGGCTTGTCTATATAGATATAGATACAGAGGTCAGAACACTGTGCTCATCCAAGGATTCTCTGAAGGCATATTCAAGAAGGACCAGATCCTAACACGGGGGAAGGGGACAGAGCATATAGTTAAGGGCAACATCAGACTTATGAACACGGCAGAGCAAAGTATAAGAAAGACATCCCTGCAGGGTCTTGTTAATTCTATATGAGAAACTGGGTGCAGTTACACAAAATCTTATCATGAGAACAGAAATATGTTTTCCTCCTTTTTACCTAGAATCATTGCCTTGTGCCATTAAGTTGATTCCAACTTGTAGCGATCCCATGCGTTACAGGGTGGAACTGCTCCACAGCGTTTTCTTGGAGGTCATCTGTATGGAAATAGTTTTTTTTTTTTCTGTGGTGCCATGTTATATTCAAATGGCCACTCTTTTGGCGACCAGCAAACTGTTTGCGCCACCTGTCTGTCTAGAATGTGGTTGTTATTGTTAGGTGCTGTTGAAGCAGTTCTGACTCATAGCAAACCTACGTACAACAGAACAAAACACTGCTTGGTCCTGTACCCTCCTCATAATTGTTACTAGACTTGAGCTCATTGTTGCGGCCACTGTGTCAGTCCATCTCATTGGAGATCTTCCTCTTTTTTGCTGATCCTCAACTTCACCAAGTATGATGTTCTCCAGGGACTGGTCCCTCCTGATAACATGTCCAAGGGATGTGAGAGGAAGTCTTGCTACATCTTCCTAGACAGATTTGTTCTTTTTCTAGCAGTTCATGGTCTATTCATATTCTTTGCCAATACCATAATTCAAATGTATCAATCCTTCTTCAATCTTCTTTACTCATTGTCTAGTTTTCACACACATATGAGGTGATTGAAAATACCATGATGTGGTTCAGGTCCACCTTAGTCCTCAAAGTGACATTTTTGCTTTTAAACTATATTGTTCTTGTGTTGTGAAATGCCTTCAAATTGGTTCCAACTCATAGTGATCCTGTAGTATAGGGTTTCTGAGGAGCTTTGAACCACTGACCTTGCAGTTCAAATGACTTTGTAGTCTGACACATTATCCCACAGCGCCACACCAGGACTCCTTAAACTATATTGAGAACCCTCAAATCCTGCGATAATCCATTTATGAAATAGACACAAGCAAAGACCCTAGAAGACCCCCAGCTTGAACCCTATCCAGGAACCCAGGGTTTGGGCATGTTTATCAAGCACACATGCTAGGGCTGGTATCAGCATCAGGATGCTCTTAGCTGCTTTTCATGATTAATTGTAACTTTTTTGTGGGAAAAGGAGACAATGGTAAAGTGTTATTGCTTTTGAAGTTGTTATTGTTGTTCATTGCCTACATGTCATTTTCTTAACACTGGCATTTATTTGGCAATGCTGGTGACGTGGCTTGTCTCTCTCTTTACAGATATGGAACCTATTCACATAGTGTTCTAAAGAAGCTTGGGATTCCGGGGCCCAAGCCTCTGCCTTTTTTGGGAACTGTCCTAGCCTACCGTAAGGTGAGTGTTGTAACTCCCCCTTTTTAATCGTATGCTTGCATATATCTACTCAGTTCCATCAATACAAATGCCCTTCCTTAGAAGGAAGTTTCTAGAACTTTCTGTGTTTACCTCATCCAGCACATTGGTTTAGATTCTCCATAAATTTCTATTGTTAAATGTTGAGGTTTTTGCCCCAGTCTGGCAGCTCGGTTCCCTGGCAGATTCAACATAAGACTGGATGCCTTAACACTGTGATCCTCATTAGGAAGGATATCTTTCTACTGGATGTTTCTTCCTAAGACAGTATATTGGTCCTTAGCATAAGGAGAAATGAACAAAAGGACTCTTGGTTGTTGTTTGTTGATCTTAAGTGTTGTGGAGTCGATTCTGACTCATAGTGACTCTGTACGAGTCAGCTGGTGGATTTGAACCTTCGACCTTGTGGTTAGTAATCCACTGCGTAGCCTATAGGACCACACCAGGACTCCAAGGAGTCTTGGTTATTGTTTGTTGTTGGCAAGTGCCATGATGGTGGTGGTGGTAGTTATGTGCTGTGGAAACAGGGTTTCTGAGGCTGTAAATCTTTACAGGAGCAGAAAGCCTCATCTTTCTCCCACGGAACAGCTGGTAGTTTCGAACTGCTGACCTTAAGGTTTGCAGCCCAATTCGTAACCACTACGCTACCAGAGCTCCTTCAAGTTCTGTGAAGTTGATTCTAATTCAGTGATTCTGTATGAGTACACTGATCAGTTTGAACTATTGACCTTGCAGTTAGCAGTCCAGTGTTTATTCTACATCACCACACCAGGACTCCAAGAAGTCTCTCTTATTGTTAAGTTCTCTTGAGTCAGTTATGACTCATAGTAACTGTATGAGCTGGCTAATGGGTTTGAACTGTCGACCTTGCAGTTAGTAGTCCACTGCTTACCCTACAGTGCCACACTAGGACTCCAGGGAGTCTTGGTGGTGGCTCATGAAACTGTGTACTGTAGATTCCAGCTGCTCCGTTTCTAGCTTGAGAAACCCTTTTATCGGTTCTCTTTTCTGGGTAGATTGTTTTTGAAAATATTTTTTTCATTGTATTGTTCCTCCTGGATAGACAATGAACTTCAGATTAGTCAGTAGCACAAGTGACGCACATCACAGTCTCTCAAGAACTGCTGAGTCCCCTGTAGTTATTTCTGGCTGCCCATGTTCTCCTTTGGAGCATCTTGTCTTTTCTTCTTTCTTTTCGTCCCATCAAAGGGACCACCTCCATGAGTGAGTAACAGCAGGGAGTGATATCACTGTGGTTGTCTATCAACTTGAGATATTTAACAACGAACTGAGTTTTGTTTTTTTAAAGCATGTTATTGTTCGGGCTGTGAACCATAAGGTCAGCGGTTCGAAACTACCAGCTGCTCCGCGGGAGAAAGATAAGGCTTTCTACTCCCGTAAAGATTTACACCCTCGGAAACCATGTTACAGGGTCGCTATGGGTCGGAACCGACTCGATGGCACTTAACAACAACAACAATTGTTGTTTGAGTTATTGAATTGCTTTAGAATGATAATGACCCTGTGTGACACAGTAAAGCTCCCCAGGGGACATGTACTCACTTTCTCCATGTGTCAGTTTCCTCGAATGCCCATTGAGGTGGGTCATTATTCAGTATGTGGTGAGATTTTAGAGACAATATAGACACAAGCAGAAACTCTTCAGGAAGACAAGCAGTTACTTTATTATTCATAGACAAGATTCTGTCATTCAGCATCTATAATCTTAGGAGAAAATTCAAGAGTTCTTTTAAGTTGTCCATTTGGGAATTGTTTTTGTTGTTAAGTGCCATTGAGTTGGTTCCGATCCATAGAGACCCCATGCAGAACAGAAGCCTGCGCCATCTTCACAATTGCTGCTGCACTTGAGCCCATTGTTGCTGCCACTGTGTTACTCCAGCTGGCTGGGGGTCCCCCTCTTTTTCTCTGACCCTCCACTTTACCAAGCATGATATCCTTCTCCAGGGACTGGTCCCTCATGACAACATGTCCAAAGTACGAGAGATGAAGTCTGGCCATCCTTGCATCTAAGGAGCATTCTGGCTGGACTTCTTTGATATTGGATCTGGGCCCACCCAACCCTTGTATGACCTCATGTTTTTGTTGTTGTCAGATTTGGTAGAGTCAGCTGTGACTCCTACTGACCTTATGCATAGCAGGATGAATTATGACTTCATGGTCTTTGATACGTTTGAGTCCATCGTTGGTATTCACAGAAAGCGAAGGTTCAGATTTCACCATTTCTTTGTGGGAGATACGATTCAAGTCATAATAGATAGCAAGCTTGATTTCATCTGATTTGAATCTTTTCTTTTACCCTAGAAAAGAGGTAAGGCTGAGCACATTTAAACCAATAATCTAATTTTATTTTGTTTCTCCTTGCAGGGTATGTGGAATTTTGACCTTGAATGTTCTAAAAAGTTTGGAAAGTTATGGGGGTGAGTATTCTGAGAACATTCATGGGATAAACTTGTGATGAAGCCCAGAGCCTGGTCTGAGGAGTCTTTCCTGTAAAGCTCTTGGAGACTTGTCCCTAAGGACCCTATATGTCTTCAGGTATCACAGTCTGAGTGAGACCTAGAAAACTTTCAGATAATCACTTTTCTCCAGACTTTTACAGATAGAGACTCCCAGTGTTACTTCCTGCTTAGTTTTTCCTTCCATTGTTGTTCAGAGTCATAGTGACCTTGCATAGAGTTTCCAAGGAATGCCTGGTGGGTTTGAACGACCCTTGTACTTGTAACTCCTTCTGTTGTTGTTGTTAAGTGCTGTCAAGTCTGTTTCGATTCATAACAACTCTGTATAGAGTGGCTGGTGAGCTTGAACCACCGACCTCACAGTTCAAACCGATCTTGCTGTACAGTGCATTAACCCAGAGTGCCACACCAGGACTCCTTCTGTGGCACCTTTTAATTGCACAAAAGTGAATTATTCCAAACCAGTCTGCTATTGTGTGCAGTCAAGCTGATGTCAACTCATAGCGAATCCATGTGACGGAGTAGAACTGCCTCAGAGCATTATCTAGACTGCCAGCTTTATGGAAGCATGTGGGTTTGAAATTGCCAACCTGATGGTCAGCAGCCAATCACCTAGCTTTTGCTCTAACAGGTCTCCTTCAAACCCTTCTAGTACGCATTAATCTTAATAGGCTTCATTCTAATAATTTATATCAGAAAATCAACACTAAATATACTCTGTACTTATATCTCTCGAGCTGCAGAATATTTTTGAAATACACAGTAGGGAGAACAATGACTCTCACCATGTCTTATATGTGACCACAGAGCCATTTGCGGTTCCTCTGTGAAGTGGAAAATTAGACAACTTTTGGAAAATCTTCCATCTTGTTCTAGCAAATGCAAATGCTTGGGTATAGAAAACAAAATTATTAAACTGTTATTGTGTATCGTCAAGCTGGTTCTGACTCATATCGACTCTATGTAAGGTGTCTGACTCATATCCACTCTGTGTAAGGTATCCGAGAGCAGCTGGTGAGCTTGAACTGCTGATCTTGTGGTTACTAGTCTAGTGTTGATTGTACAGGGTCATACAAGCTCTCAGTCCATTGATTTATTACCACAAATGGACATTCTAATGGTCAGGAGAGCAGACCCAATTTGAATATATCACACATAAAAACTCAGCACTGTGTGGCACATGTGTCAAAAGTGGAATTTACCTGCTGCTATGATGTCATCAACATGTAGCTGAGACCCAGTTGGGGTCCATATAAAAGAATAAGTGTGTGCAATGAAAAGTAATTAAAATGAATTATACATTTTCCTTTCTATTCCTTTTTGTCTTTTTATGTTTCTTTCCCTTTTTTCTAAACTTAATGCTACCAAAGAAGTCTCTTTAACAGGCAAAATAGTATGTTAAAAAATTATAATAATGTAAGAAAATGCTTTAAAATAGGGCAAAAATCATTCATAATTCTGGTAACCCCTTTTGAACATTCCAAGTCTTTTTCTATGTGCACATTCATTTTTACATGCTTGTGATTGGTAATGTCATACAATTCCATATGCATTATTTACGCTTAGACATATCTTCAAAATTATTATTTTAAATGTAAATAAACAAAAATGTGAACTTTAAATGATCTTAGGTTATTACTTGCCATATTTTTTCTTCTGGGAGCACAGTGGTTCTATAGGATAAGCATTGAACCGTGAACTACAAGGTTGGTGGTTTCAGCCCACAAGCTGCTCTGTGGGAGAAAGATAAAGTTTTCTACTCCCGAAAAGATTCATAGCTTTGGAAACCTATACAGGATTGCTATGAGTCGGAACCGACTTGATGGCGCTTAACAAGAAGTATGGTGCTGAAGGATAAGCACTGGACCGCAAGGTCAGTTTGAATTGCCAAGTTGGCTGTTCAAACTCAACAGCCACTCCTTGGAAACCCTATGCAGGGTCTCTGTGAGTAGGTACTGACTTGGTGGCACTTATCAAAAACAGCAACAATTTTTTCACTAACCTTGTCTTTAAAAAAAAAAAAGGTAATATTTTAAACATAAAAAATGGCAAAGGATGATACAGAAAATAGCCACGTGCCTACCATCTTTCGTGAACAGTTATTCCAATTTATTCCCCCCTAATGATTATCTCTTTTAAGAGCTAGTTTGTCTTTAAATAGCTCTTACCTGTTTGAACTACCTGACCCTTCATTTGACCAGAACTCCATTGGTCAAAATCTTGTTGTGTATCATATCTTAAGATGAACTAGAAAAAAATCTTGCTGTGTATTAGGTGCCTAGGAGCAAATGGCTCCAGTTGCAAAATTGAGTTTACTAAGATTAACCAGCTGTTTCCTGGCATAGGTTCTACGATGGTCGACAGCCTGTGATTGCCATCACAGATCCTAGTATGATCAAGACCGTAATGGTGAAAGAATGTTATTCCACCTTCACAAACCGGAGGGTAGGTGTTGATGTTTTTCATGAAAACTTTAATTTTTTTATTTGCCTTCTAAATTTGAAGTCATTATAAAGTCACAGGAAATTTGACACAACAACAATGACCAAAGCCCAAACATATACAGGAGAACCGTTCATCCATCTTCCCCCAAGGTTAACGTCTTGTCTAACTGCAATATGAAATCAAACGAGTAAATTTATGTTCTGGTACGTTTCACAGAGCTCATTTGGGTTTCGTGTGTGTGTGTGCAGCTCTGTTCCATCTTATGACACATGTGTATCTTCATAACAATCAAGACAGAGCGCTGCTCCCTCACTATGAGACTTCTCCCTCTTGCCTTTCTTTCATAGTCAAAATTTGTAGCTTGTCATTTCCTCTAATAGCATTTTCAGTAGGACAAACGCTATTTTACTTTTATGATCCCAATTTAAAAATGTTTAAAAATATTTTTCTGAAGACTGCATACCATTAGGTCCTGAAGATTTTCCTCTTGTCATTTTT